AGGCGGGAGCCGTTGTTGCTGTTACCCGAGGGCCAGGGGCACAGTTTGAGCTTCAATACTTTCCTTGATAAAAAACAGGGTGCGAGCGTCGATGGGCACACTTCGATGGAGAAAAAAGAGTATGCACTGGTGGGGTGGGATCAACAAGAATTATTCTTCAGAAATGAGAGCTCAACAACAACAACAACAACAACAACAACAACAACAACAACAACAACAACCATAACAACCATAACAACCACAACAACAACAACAACAACCATAACAACAACAACAACAACTGCAGCAGCAGCAACAATAACAACAACAATCACTTTACCCGAACGCTCAGTGTTCTCACCAGTGCCAGGGTTTTCATGCGACGCCAGCCAATACCCCCACTTTGTGGGGGGGCAGTGCAAGCTCTACCAAATATCCACACGACTCTTCGCCACCACCCACACCCAGCTTCCCGCCCTATGACGTTCGGACACTTCACTTCGTGGCCTGCGGACGACCGTGGCTACTACACTGGCGTGGAGTACACACCCACAGAAGTTGTTAAGCCTACGTTCGTACACCCACAGAAGTTGTCAAGCCTTGTTAACCCACAGAAGTTGTTAAGCCTTCCACAGAACATCTGTTGCATATGATGCATATGGTACATATGATGCATATGCATATGATGCTTTTTGGAGATTTCGGCGTGCGCGCGCAAAAAAACGAATGTGTCCCGCATGGTATTATTTGACAGGGATGATGGCCCTGGCAGGTGCGCAACCGTTGTCGCAGAAGTTCGAAAAAGTTGCTCGCAAAAGCCCGTTTGACAGAAATGTTTAAAAAGTGTTGGGTTTCCTACGAATCCGCAAGAGCGCGCGGGATGAGATTTTGACATTTTTTTGTTGAAAAACCATTGGTTTTTTGATGTTTTTATGTTAAAATCGCTCCGAACACTAAGCTTTTGGAAGGATTTCGTCTTGCGCGCGCGAATGTCCACTTTACCTTATTTTTTGCAAGGGATTCTTGAAATTTGATTATATTAGAACAAGAAATGTCATTTTATAGTGTTTTTTGCAAGGGAAAACGGATTACAACAAAACAACCGGATCTGGACCCCATCCACTTTTCTGAAGCTTTCGCGAAAAATGATGAAAATGCAGCTGCGGCCTAGGCGCGGCGGGGGGGCCGTGCACCAGGGGTCCCAACAATAATTATTCTTTAGAATTAATAATGTTCAACAAACAACAACAACAACAACAACAATCATTTTACCCGAACGCTCAGTGTTCTCACCAGTGCCAGGGTTTTCATGCGACGCGAGACAATACCCCCACTTCGTGGGGGGGCAGTTCAAGCTCTACCAAATATCCAAACGACTCTTCGCGACCACCCAAACCCAGCTTCCCGCCCTATGACGTTGGGACACTTCACTTCGTGGCGTGCGGACGACCGTGGCTACTACACTGGCGTGGGGTACACACCCACAGAACTTGGTCACTTATTCGGGGCGCGCGTGTGCCCAGCATCCTGCAATTGTGACATACAATACATGACACAGACAGACAGAGAGAGAGACAGAGAGCAGACAGAGAGAGAGACAGAGAGAGCGGAGTTGGTCACATTTTTGGGGCAAGTTCCTGAGATCGTCGTGTTTTTTGTTGGTCTTGCGCGCGCGAATGTCCACTTTACTTTTTTTTGCAAGGGATGTTGAAATTTGATTATGTAAGAACAAGAAAAAGTAGCTCGCGCGAGCTTATGTAACATAAATGTTGAAAAACCATTGGTTTTGTGGGAGTCGGACAGCGCGCGCGGGATGAAATTTGGACATTTTGTTTTGAAAAACCATTGGGTTTTTGATGTTTTTATGTTGAAATCGCTACGAAACCTAAGGTTCTGGAAGGATTTCGTCTTGCGCGCGCGAATGTCCACTGTACCTTATTTTTTGCAAGGGATTATTGAAATTTGATTATGTTAGAACAAGAAAAAGTAGCTCGCGCGAGCTCATGTAACATAAATGTTGAAAAACCATTGGTTTTGTAGGATTCGGACAGCGCGCGCGGAAGGACATTTTGACAATTTTTTCTTAAAAAACCATTGGGTTTTTGATGTTTTTATGTTAAAATCGCTACGAAACCTAAGGTTTTGGAAGGATTTCGTCTTGCGCGCACGAATGTCCACTTTACCTTATTTTTTGCAAGGGATTCTTGCAATTTGATCAAGTAAGAACAAGAATTTTCATTTTATAGTGTTTTTTGCAAGGGAAAACGGATTACAACAAAACAACCGGATCCGGTACCAATCGTTTTGCTTGAGACTTCCTCACGAAAATGATGAAAATGAGGCTGCGGCCTAGGCGCGGCGGGGGGGTCGTGCACCAGGGGTCCCAACAATAATTATTCTTTAGAAGTAATAATGTTCAACAACAACAACAACAACAACAACAAACTTTTTATCACGACGTTCAGAGGCTTAGACCCTTTTCTTCCCTCCTCCATCGGCCTTTCTTGCTGGCAACCTGAACCTGCCCCCGCCCCCCGTTCCCCACTCACGGTCGGAGTCGACTGCTCGAGCCCAGAAGGTGGAGAAGGAGGAAGAGGAAGCAAAGGAGGAGAGGAGGAGGAAGAGGAGGAGGAGGAGGAACAGGAGGAGGAGGAAAAGGAGAAGGAGGAGGAGCAGGAGGAGGAGGAGGAGCAGGAGGAGGAGGAGAAGGAGGAGGAGGACCCGCAGCGGCAGCAGCAGGAGGAGGGAGATGAGGAGTGGAAGGGGCAGAGGAGGCGAGCCAAAATGCCGCCCCAGATCCCGACCCCCGGGCGTCCTTGGAGGCCCCCGGAGGTTCCCAGAAGCCCGGAGGATCCCCAGAAGTACGCCCCCCTCCACCAACCATCCAAAAGCGTCCTTCTCGATCCTCGAAGACCAGAAGCAACACCTGGCAGGGTGAGGGGAAGGACGACCAGCAGGAGGAGAGAGGAGGAGGAGGAGGAGGAGGAGGAGGAGGAGGAGGAGGAGGAGGAGGAGGAGGAGGAGGAGGAGGGGCTTCAGACCGTTGCAAGGCCTGGGTGTTTTGAGTATTTTTGCGCTGGAGGTCTCTGGAGGCGTTCACTTGCGGTCTTAGCTGCGCTCCAGCAGTCCTCAAGCAGGAGTCATGGCGTTCCAGCCTGCAGCTGCGAGTGGCACAGAGTGAAAGGAGGAGGAGGACGAGGGAAACGGATGAGGAGGAGGAGGAGAAGGAGTGCCTTTAGGCGCCTGTGGGCGAGGTTGATTGCCTTCGGGATGATGCGTCTGGTCGCCCTTGTGGCGGTGTTGGAGTGTGATCTCCGCGTGCCCCATCCGGTGGAAAAAATGCAGAAGAGGACGAGGAAGATGACAAGGAAGAGGGCGATGACGAGGAGGACCAGCCTTCCCCGATGGTCAGGGTACAATCAAACTGGCCGCATCTTCACCCAGGCTGTGCGCGGGCCAGTGTGCAATCGCACGGCATTGGCATTTCGGGACTTCGAGGCGCATGCGCTTTGAGACCTTCGAACATCCGAGCATCCGAGCCTCCCCCGATTTGAGGCCTCCCCGTCCCCGATGAGGAGGAAGAGGAGGACGAGGGCGAGGGCGAGGAAGATGAGGAGATGGAGGAGGAGGACGACGAGGACGACGACGAGAACTAGGAGGACCAACCTCCAGTTGTGTTGCTTGTTGAAGCCTCGGTTTGCGAGCTTGGTGGACGTTGAAAGGGCTCTTCGTTTTAAGGATTATAGAATGACGATGTTGTCATGATTATGCAGCGGGGACTCCGCATTAAGAATTCCGCGGCAAGGGTTCTGTCATAAGGGCTCCGTGGTAAAATGTTACATGGTAAGTTAGCTTCACTTAGCTTCACTCAGTAATCCTTGTTCATGATGTCTTACAACGGGCGTCTTAGTAAGACGTCCATTCGCAACAAATGTGCTTTCTATTGTTGCCTGCTTGGACCCTGCTGACGATGCTGCTGATTGTTTGTCCTTCCTGGACCCGCCTGGCGGGGGGGGGGCCTTGTCGCCCTGGCTGGATCATTCTCGAAGCTCAGGTCAGAAAGCGCTCCAGGAGAGCTCTGGGGACCAGCTGTGAGGCAGGAGGACTCAGGAAGGAGTGGGGGTGGATAAGGACGATGAAGATGGAGAAGGTGAAAAAGATTGTGGTGTTGATGATGGTATTGGTGATGTTGGTGGTTATGGTGGTGGTGGTGGTGATTGTGATTGTGATTGTGGTGGTGGAAGTGCTGGCGACGACGATGATGATGTTCATGATGATGATGGTGATGACGAGGAGGAGGAGGGTGATGATCACCATGATGATGACGACGACGATGATGTCAATAAGGATGGCAACGATGACGATGGTGATGATGATGATGATGATGATGATGCTGATGATGATGGTGCTGATGCTGATTGTGATGATGATGCTGATAATGACGATGGGCATGGTGGCGATGATGCTGATGATGGTGATGATGATGATGATGTCGACGACGCTGACCATGACTATGATGCTGATAATGACGATGGGGATGATTATGATGATGATGATCATGATTATGATGATGATGATGATGATTCTGATGATGATTCTGATGATGATGGTGATGGTGGTGGTGATGGTGATGGTGATGGTGATGGTGGTGCTGATGGTGATGATAATGGTGATGAGGATGATGACGATAACGATGATGGTGATGATGAAGATGATGACGATGATGATGATGATTATGATTATGATGTTGATGCTGACGATGACGACGGCGATCAGGAGGAGGATGATGATGATGACGATGATGACGATGATGATGATGATGATGATGATGATGATGATGATGATGATGATGATGATGATGATGATGATGATGGTGGTGGCGATGATGATGTTGATGGTGGTGCTGATGATGATGGTGGCGGTTGTGATGATGATGGTGATGGTGATGATGATGGTGATTATGATGATGGGGAGGAGGAGGAGGAGGAGGAGGAGGAGGAGGAGGTAGATAGTGGCCCGAGGAGTGCCTTCTGTTCCTGGGCCTGCGCTGCAAGAAGGAGCAGACGGGCATGACCATATGTTCGCAGTTCCTGACTCAGGCAACGGAGCGGGACTTGGCATGTTGCGTGCGTGGAGGATCGGTAAGTTAGAATCCGCCCCGTGTCTTTCCCCACCTCTGCGAGCCATATCAAATAACTGGTCTTCCCGACCATCCTGTGAGGTTGGGTCCTCGTTTTGAATTCGCATCGCCCGCGCTCCTCCTCCTCCTCCTCCTTCTCCTCCTCTTCCTCCGCATCCTCCTCCTCCCCCTCGCTTCCTACCCCTCTCATCGTCCCCCTCCTCTGTCCTCCTGGTTCTGCCTTCCGCGCGCCCTCATCGTCGGCACCCCCTCACACGCTCCGTGGCCCCATAGCGAGCTACACCTAAGGCCCCAGCGGTTGCGCCCGCATACATTCTCCACACCATTTCGGCGCACCCTTCACACGTTGCGTGGCCCAATGGGGCGCTCTCCTTCTCCACACCGTTTTGGCGCACCCCTACATTCCATAGCCCCATAGGGAGCTCCCCCATAAGGCCCCAGGGCCGGGGCCCTCCACACCATTCTGGCGCCCCCCCGCTCACACGCTTCGTGGCCCCATAGGGAGCTCCACCTAAGGCTCCAGTGCCAGGGCCCGCATGCTTTCTCCACACCATGTCTGCACACCCCTCACGCGCTTCGTGGCCCCATAGTGGCAGTCGCCGGGCTAATTGGTGAAGTAGCTGGCGCGACGGAAGAGGTGAGCGCACGTCTGCAGAGCAGTGCAGTCTCCGGTTGTCTTGATGCTTGTTCTGCTGTTGCTGCTGCTGCTGCTGCTTCTCCTCCTCCTCCTCCTCCGAGAGAGAGAGAGAGAGAGAGAAAAAAAAAAAAAAAAAAAAAAAAAAAAAAAAAAAAAAAAAAAAAAACGTCACTTGAAGACATCTTGGCCGCATTGGGTTCCCGATTGGGTTGTTTGCCCTCTTGGGCCAACTAAACGTTCTCATACCTGTAGGCATCCCCCGGCATCATCACCACTGAGCTAGCCCTCCTACTCTTCCTCCTCCTCCTCCTCCTCCTCCTCCTCCTCCTCCTCCTCCTCCTCCTCCTCCTCCTCCTCCTCCTCCTCCTCCTCCTCCTCCTCCTCCTCCTCCTCCTCCTCCTCCTCCTCCTCCTCCTCCTCCTCCTCCTCTTCCTCCTCGGGTCGCTTACGGCCCAGGGGAAAACCGTGCACACCTAAGGCCCCAACGCCAGCGCCCGCATGGTTCAGTGCAGGCGTGCAGCAGGCGCTCGACCAGCTCGGGCTCCAGGGCGCATGGCCGACGCAGCTCGAGGGGCAGCCTGCCGGCGGCACCACGAACAGAGGCCTCGCGCACGACTGCAAGCCGCCGCGTGCGGCTCCACGAGCAACTCGGCGCGTGCACAGCCGCTCGCAACAAGTGGTTTCGGTGTGCTGTCTGGAGAAGGTGTTTTCTGTTAGGAGGAGGAGGAGGAGGAGGAGGAGGAGGAGGAGGAGGAGGGGGAGGAGGACCCGCAGCGGCAGCAGCGGGAGGAGGGAGATGAGGAGTGGAAGGGGCAGAGGAGGCGAGCTTCAGTGCCGCCCCAGATCCCGACCCCCGGGCGTCCTCGGAGGCCCCTGGTCGCCCAGGGTGGCCGAGATGCTCGGGCTGTGGCCCGATCGCCTTGACAGCGGCGTGGGCTTCAGCAAAAGCAAGAATGACAAAGCAAGTCGGCGCGTGCAAGGAGGGCAACACTGCCATGGAGAGGTTGCATCTCGAGGCAGAAAGGTGGCAGGGACGCTTGCGCCGCGCGTCGCGGCCTTGGAAAGCACCTTCCGCGCTCTCACCATTGACCGCATCGGGCTGAAGTCTCGGCTGTTGTGTGTGTGCCCGCCACCCCGCGAAGAGCTCGTGGCCAGCCCTCGAAAGTCTGGGTTGTAGATTTCAGTAGACCACGCGATTACGATCACGTTACGCAGATGAATGTTCGAGTACAGGACACACGCAAATCCACCTCATCCTCCTCCTCGTCGTCCTGCTCACCCTCACCCGCCATGCCAATTCCAGTTGAGAGAAGCGAGCTGCAGGCGACGGGGCAGGAATTCTGAGCTCCGCTGGGCCTCTGCGCAAATGCCCGCCGCTGGCAGTCGGACCAGCTGCCCAGAGCTTACTGCCACGCCGAGCTCTGCCGACGGTATCGGTAGCGGGAGGGATGTTCCTCCCGCCACCTCTCTCTTTCGATTGCGCCAGGCAGCACAGACTCCCAGACATCCGACGATATGACCTGTTAAGCTCGCGGCCCGAGAGGTTCCAACCCCTTGCCCCAGGGGCAGCTTCTCGCCCAGGACCCATATTTGATCACCCTGGGGCCCGACAACGGGCACTGGAGGCCGAAGTCGAGGAGAAGCGCTGGGATTGGAAACATCCTATCGTCGGAGATCTTGGCTGCTAGGAGCTGTCGTCGTCGTTGTCGTTGTGGTCGTTGTCGTCGTCGTTGTCGTCGTCGTTGTCGTCCTTGTCGTCGTCGCGGCGCAGAAGCGGAAGGTCGGGCGATGCGGTAGGCCTCTTTCTTTCCCTCTCTCTCTCTTTCCCTCTCTCTCTCTCTCTCTCTCTTTCTCTCTCTCTCTCTCTCTCTCTCTCTCTCTCTCTCGCGGAGGAGGAGGAGGAGGCAGAGGAGGCAGAGCAGGGCTCTCAAGGACGGCTTCCGCCGAGGGCTTTTTGGGAGAGGGTTTCTCGGAGGCCTTCCGGAGGCCTCCGCAGGCGTTCGGAGGAGAGGACGGCGGTGCGGAGGAGAGGATGAAGATCGCCAGCGTGCCGAGGGGTGAAGTGAGAAGGGGCAGGCCTTCTCTTAAGTCGGGCGTGTCCCTCTACAGGAGAGGAATATTCCCAGATAGTCAAAAAATAGTCGGGGGACTTTTTTTTTGTATGTTTTGCCATGTTAGCATTTGTTTGACCATTTTTTATGTTTCGTCCAAAATTCGCCTGTGGGGGACACGCCCGACCGAAGGGCAGGCCTTCTCAGAAGGCGGCGGGGCGTTTCAGAAGCCTTCCCGCCTTCTGAGAAGCCCTCCGCGGCTTCGGAGGAGACTCGGGGAGTCTCTCAGCAGGCCGGAGGCCTTCTGAGCTTTCTGAGAAGGCCCGCTTCCTCTGCCTTCCCCCCAGGGCGCGCCGCTGGGAGGAGGAGGAGGAGGAGGAGGAGGAGGAGGAGGAGGAGGAGGAGGAGGAGGAGGAGGAGGAGGAGGAGGAGGAGGAGGAGGGAGGAGGGAGAGGGAGGAGGGAGGAGGAGGGAGGAGGGAGGAGGAGGAGGGAGACGGAGGAGGAGGAGGGAGGAGGACGGAGGAGGACGGAGGAGGAGGAGGAGGAGAAGGAGGAAGGGGGGAGGAGGAAGGGGAGGAGGCCCCACGCAGGCCACGAGCAGTTCTCTGCCTCGGGGCCTCCACCGCCTCGGAGCACCGCCGGCACCCCAGAGGACGCAATGTACAAACCCACGACGTGGCCAGCCTGGGCGAGAGCTGTTTGCACGCGTGGCTGCGTGTCCTCGTGCTCGGCTGCAGTGGGCACGCCAAGGCAGAAGTTGGGCCTTCCAACGGGTGCCCCACGAGAATCTAGGCCCCCTAGTATGGGGTCGGAGTAGATGGGGTCGGAGGATCGCGCCGCATCGCCGATGCGTCGGCGATGCGGCTCGATGTGGAGCCCGAGTTTCTCCACGCCGACGTCGCCAGTGCATCACCGACATTGCCGGTACATCGCCAATGCGTCGCCGATACATTGCCGACGCATCGGCGATGCGGCGCCATCCTCCGACCACGTCTACTCCGACCCCATCTAGGAGGCCTCTAGATAATTCCTTGACTCCCAATAGGCCCGCAGAGCCCTGGGGCACCTTACGAGCTCAGAGTCCACGAGGGATGCGCCCCCAGGTTTCTCATGGCAAGATGTCCATCGTGCAGGCCGACTGTACGCAAGAGTGCCCGTTCACTGGAGTGACCTGTGGTGCGGGCCCATTCCCAGACATGCGATGTCCTGATTTTCTCAGTACGGGGCCCCCGGGAGTTTCGACCCCTTCCCCGGGACTGGCTGTTCATCCTGAGTCCTTTCTTGATGGCCCTGGGGCCCGGGAAGAGCCCCCAGAGGCCGAAAATTGCCAAAACTGTCCAGCGATGTCCAGAAATGGCCGAAGAAGGGGCCCCAGAGGCCGAAAATTGCTGCACACGGCCAAAACTTGTCCGTCCTGCTTTGGTCGGGGCGCGAGCAGCATGCCTGGGCCGGGGCCCAGCGCTGGCCTGCACGCTCGGGCGTGGCCCACCCCGCGGCCCTCGGACGCCGCGCGATCACCGGACCCGCGCCGCGCGCCGGCCGTTGGGCGTGGCTTAATGGGGGGGTCACAAATGGGGGGGTCAGAAAAGGTCCCCTTTCGTGCCCCTTTCGGGCCCCTCCAGAGCCCCAGGGGGCTCGTTTAGGTACCGTTCGGGTACCCTTTCGGACCACCCTCGCCACCCCCCCATTTATGACCCCCCCATTACGCAGCGCCCAAGGCCGCGCGCAGGAGCGACATTGGGCAGGCGGTGGCCGCCGGTGCGCGGCGCCCGAGGGCCGCGGGAGGGGCCACAGCCGAGCGCGCGGGCCAGCGCAGGCCGCTCGCGCACCGGAGGCCACCGCCTGCCCAGGGTCGCGGCCGGCGCGCGGCCGGCGCGCGGCCAGGCGCGGTGCTCCTCAGGGCACGTGTGAGCCCAGGCGTGTGAGCCTCAGGGCACGTGCGAGCCCAACGTATTGAAGAAAACAAGACGATGATTTTGTTCGCAAAGTTCGGCCCCTAGCGGCCCTCGCCGGGCCTCGGGACCGTCAAACAACGACTCGGGATGAAAAACTGGTCCTGGGGAATGAGTCGAGACATCCAAGGACCCCGTATTGGACAAATCACGACATCGGATCTCAGGGGTGTTAGTTATCCAGCTTGTGGGACTGCATGTTCTGATCGCGGCTCGTTCTTTTCCACTCGCGCCGTTCTGTCTGGTTCCTTGCTGTGCCCACTGCGCTTCCGGAGTCTCCCTGCGTCGCTCGACCGGCCTCTGACATGTCTTGCGCCCATTGGCCAAAACAGTGTTGGCCCAGCTCGGTTTCGCCGATAGCGCACAGCTTGTGTCGGCCCTCGTTGCGCCTCCTGCGTCGTATTGAAGGGCCTCTGAGGACAAGCACACGGTGGCGTAGCGCATGTTCCGAGGACCATCGACAGGCGCGCTGGGCTCCTCCCCGCCTGTGCTTTCGGGGCTCGGCCTCCGCTGTGTTCCGAAGGCGGTTCCAGCCGCGTGCGCGGCCCTGCTTCACTGGAAAGTCTCCCCCCTCCCTGCATCCCTTCTCCCTAGGCTTAAGTCGGGCCTGTCCCTCTACAGGGGGAATACGCAAAAGTAGTAAAAAAATAGCCTGAGGACAATTTGTTTAGCAGTTTGTGACTATTTTGGGGTAGTTGGAGGGGGGTATTTGTTGAGTATGTTTGATTGTTCGTTTAGAATACGCCTGTAGGAGGAAATGCCCGACCTAACCTAAACCTAGGACTCCAAGATGGAGTCGGAGTAGATGGGATCGGAAAATCGCGCCGCATCGCCGATGCATCAGCGATGCGGCTCGGTGTGGAGCCCGATTTCCTCCATGCCGGCGTCGCCGATGCATCGCCGACGTCGCGGGCGCATCGTCGACGATGCATCGGCGATGCATTGGCGAGGCGGCGCGATCCTCCGACCCCATCTATTCGGACCCCATTTAGGAGGCGTCCCTTCCCTTCCCCTCGAACGACCGATTTGATGGAAGTGCGGTACAGCCTCCAGAGAAAATCAGCCAATGGGTGACGAAATCTTCCGTGCGTACCCTTTTTGCCTCATGGGCCAGGTCGCGTGAGTCGTTTCTCAGCAGGCGCGCCTCGCCGAAGCGACGAGCGGACATTGGACCAAGTAAGAAGTGTTGGAGCATGTTATCCGTGCTTGCTAGATCTTGGAGGCCACGGCCTCAACCACCTGGTCTCATGTGGGCCTGGACGATTGTCCGACGAGTTGGGCGTTGGTTCTTCCCTTCGTTGTGCAATTCCTATTCTCATCGAGGTGGGAGTCAGCGAGCCCCTCCCCCCGCAGGCAGAAGACAAGTGCGGGGACCCAGCGGACAGAGCTAACCTGCCGACGAAGCCGTTGAAGAAGTTCTGCAGGGTCGCGTGGAAGCTCCAGGTCATCCGAGTGAAGACCACGACTGCTGCACCGACGACCACGACCACGATTACGACGACCACCACTAAGACCACGACCACGATTACGACGACCACAATCACGACGACGACGACGGCGAGGACAACGACGACGACGGTGACGACGCCTACCACCACAACTCCCACTACCACGACTACAGCTGCGACGACGACTGCCGCGGCCGAGACTACCACTCCGACGATGCCCCCTTCGGAGGCGAACATAGAGGACCAGGACAGGCGGGTGAGCCGCTTGCCATAGAGGAGAGGATTGCGTGCGAAGAGAACTAGTGAGAGAGGGAGACAGATAGAAACAGAATCGGATAACGAGGGAATGAGAGAGTGAGAGAATCAGAGAATGAGAGGCTGAGAAAGTGAGAGAATGGAATGAGAGGCTGAGAGAGTGAGAGAAAGAGAGAGAGAGAGAGAGCGAGCGGGCGGGAGTGACGGAGAGGAACAGAGAGGGACGGAGCGGGATGTCGAGATACAGGAGACCGCACGAGTTCCCGGGAGATCTTTCCCGACGCCGCGGGCGCACAGGGCAGCGCGCACCATGCCAGCGGCGGGGCGCTGCAAGCATGGAGACGGCACGACGCGAAACAGAAACTGGGGAGACAAAACGAGCCTAGTTCAGCGAAGGGCCAGACCCTGTGCAGCTGCGTGCAGCGCATGGGGCGGCCCTCTCCTCGCGCGCCGCGCGCCGCAGGCGCGATGGAGTTCGGGGCAGGACTGCGGAGGCTGCGGAGATCGAGCGCAGACGGACCCCGGCGGAGCGCCCCCGGGGGCGCGAGGCCCGCGCGGGGGCTCCTTGGACCGCGTGCCGAGGGCCCCCGCGCCGAGGCCGCGGGTCCGAGGGCCCCCGCGCCGAGGCCGCCGAGGCCGCTGGGGCTCCACCGCGTCCAGAGGAGGGGCGTGCCGACCCGGGCCGGGTTGCCGCGTGCAGGGACGGCGGCCGCCGGCGGGGCTCCCGTGGGGGGGCCGCGAGGCGCGCGAGAGGAGTGCGCGCCGGCATTGGGCGGGACGGCGGCACGGGCCAGCGGCACCGAGGCCGCGGGCGGAGGTCCGCGGGAGGAGGGGGGGCGCGGGAGGCGCACGTTGGTGTGCCGGCATGGATTGGGGGGCGGCGCGTGCCCGCGCGCAGGCCGGGGTTGCGGGTGGAGCTCCCCTCCTGCGGGCACGAGGCGTGTGACGGGTGCGCCGAGGTCGGCGGCGTAACGCACGCAAGGAAGGAGGAGGAGGAGGAGGAGGAGGAGGAGGGGGAGGAAGGAGCGGGAGCCGCCGCTGCCTGCTCCTTCGGTGCGACCGAGATCCGATGATGCCTGCGAGATCGAAATCACGATGGCCGAACCAGTCGAAACGCTTGGGCGAGGGAGGGAGGAGACGCGCGGCGCGGCGGCGAGAATACTTGATGGTGAGCTCGTCTGGATGCCGTCGCACAAGCCGAAGACGTGGCTCAGGAGTCAGGGATGCCCAGGGCATTGGTCCCCAGGGAGTGCGCTCGCCGACGAGTACGCCAAGAGAGGAGCTGGCCGTCACCCGAGGAACACCCACTCCAGGAACGGCCGAGGTTCGCCGAGGAGTTCTGCGCCAAGTTCACCAGGCCACTCGGTAGTTCCCTGGTCCAGCATGGTGGGTGGCCTCCGCAGATCCAGATTAGACCTCGAGCGCCCAGCTCCACGGGAGGGTTGGGAGCAAATGGCACGCGCGCCCTGGCTTGTGCACATCGCCGCGCACCGCGCTTGCGTTTGCATCTGGACCGGAAAAGTGAAAAACCGGGCCGCCGCTATGTTTCCGTGACGCCACGGTCTGCGGAAGAAGAGTTTTTTTTCGGCAGCGAGGGCGGGCGCCATTACGTTCGAAAAGCCGGCGGGCCCCGCCGGAATTAGAGGCAAATGCCGCAAGGGGGAGAAGAGGGGAAACGTGGGAGGATACCTCAGGCATCGAGAACCTTCACCACGAGTAGCGCGCATGCGGCCTCAGTACCGGAGACCGGTGCACCACAGGGTTGTGCGGAAGAAGGGCACACCAAAGCGAGAGCCGAATGGTTGATACATCGACGACGCATCGTTGATGTCAGGGCGATACATCGCCGATGTATAAACGACACGGGGGCGGTCTGCATCGACGATGTATCGACGATACATGTGCGATGCATCGATCATTGGAGATCGATGCATCCCCCCTACGCCTACGCCCCATTATCGCTGCCCCTCAGAAGGACTACGGGGACGACACCATCGAAGAGGGCGGCGCCATCGACGGAGACTTCGAGCTCGGCGGCGCTCCGGCTACCACTGTTCACGGCGGCGGGGAGCCAGCCCCGGCGCAGGGGGCCGCGAACATGGACGATGAGGACGGACAGCCCCGCCTCTCGAGGCGGAGACCTCTCCTCAGTCCTCCTCCTCCTCCTCCTCCTCCTCCTCCTCCTCCTCCTCCTCCTCCTCCTCCTCCTCCTCCTCCTCCTTCTCTTGATCCTCTTCCTCCTCCTCCTCCTCCTCCTCCTCCCTCCTCCTCCTCCTCCTCCTCCTCTCCCTCCTCCTCCTCCCCATCCTCCTCCTCCTCCCTGTTCCTCCTCATCCTCCTCCGCCTCCTCCGCCTCCTCCTCCTCCTCCGCCTCCTCCTCCGGCTCCTCCTCCTCCTCCTCCTCCTCCTCCTCCACCTCCTCCTCCTCCTCCTCCTCCTCCTCCTCCCTCCTCCTCCTCCTCCTCCTCCTCCTCCTCCTCCTCCTCCTCGTCCTCCTCCTCCTCCCCCTCGTCCTCCTCCGCCTCCTCCTCCTCCTCCTCCTGCTCATTTTCCTTTTCCTCCTCCTCCTTTTCCTCCTCCTCCTCCTCATCATCATACTCATCATCATCATCATCATCATCATCATCATCATCATCATCATCATCATCATCATCATCATCATCTTCATCATCAGAATCATAATCCGCATCATCATTATCCTGGTCCTTCTCCCCCTGCTCCTCCTTCTCTGTTTAATATTATTGTTTTTCTTTGTGTTGTTCCCATTATTATGATTAGTTTGATTATTATCACTATTTTTCTCATTATTCGTATTCTTAGTTGTTCCCTATTCTTCTTATTTGTATTATTCTTGTTCTTCTTAGTATTATTATTGTTCTTCTTAGTCTGATTAGTCTTATTATTATTATTCTTAGTTGTCCTCCTCCTCCTCTTCCTCCTCCTCTTCCTCCTCCTTGTCCTCCTCCTTCTCCCCCTGTTCTTCCTCCTCCTCCTTCCTTTTCCTCCTCCTTGTCCTCCTTGTCCTCTTCCTTCTCCTCCTTCTCCTCCTCCATTCCTTCTCTTTACAGATAGCTTCTCCCTGTCGCACCCTGAGGCCAGTTTTTGCGGCGGGCCTGGCGTTTCGCTTGAGACATCCTCACCATCTATGACTCTGAAGTTTAAAAAGTGGCAACAGCTTCACAGATGGAGGGCGGGTCGTTTTTAAAATGTGGCTCTCGCCTTAGCGCCGCGCACATTCGTTCTCAAAATTTGCAAGAGCTTCACGGATTGAGGGCGGGTGGTTTTCAAGCTGTGGATCTTGCTGTAGCGACGCGCACATTCGCTCACAAAATCCGAGAGAGCTTCACAGGATTGAGGGCGGGGTTGGTTTTCAAACTGTGGCTCTCGCCCTAGCGCCGCGCACATTCGTTTTCAAAAACTGCAAGAGTTTCACGGATTGAGGGCGGGTGGTTTTCAAATTGTGGATATTGCTGTAGCGACGCGCACATTTTTTCAAAAATTGCAAGAACGGGTTGAGGGCGGGTGGTTTTCAAAATGTGGTTCTCGCATTAGCGCCGCGCACATTCGTTTCAAATTTGCAAGAGTTTCACGGATCGAGGGCGGGTGGTTCTCCAAATGCGGCTCTCGCTTTAGCGCCGCGCACATTAGTTTTCAAAATTTGCAAGAATTTCACGGATGGAGGGCGGGTGGCTTTCAAATTACGGCTCTCGCCTCAGCGCAGCGCCTCACGGATTTCCATGATCAACGTACCAGAAATTGCATTTTGGACGGATTCCGGATTATGCGGGCGCAATAGTTATGTTGATTCGCAGTGTTGAAGTCCCAACAATGGCGTTCTGGCACGATTCCGGATCGTCAAGACGCAGCAGTCAGCTTGATACGTGGCGTTGAAATCCCGAGAATAATGCTTTGGTATGCTTCAGGACCTTCAAATGGTTGTCTTCCACCGATGCAATGCCCTCAATGGGAATGAACCGCTGTGGGGGCCTATGAAGAGGGAGTTTGGAGGGATGGTTAATTCCGACATCGTTGATGACTCTTGGGTTTACACTAGTCCTCTTCCTCTTCCTCCTCCTTCTCCTCCTCCTCCTCCTCCTCCTCCTCCTCCTCGTTATCCTCGTTATCCTCCTCCCCATCCTCCTCCTCCTCCTCCTCCTCCTCCTCCTCCTCCTCCTCCTCGTCCTCGTCCTCCTCCTCGTCCTTCTCCTCCTCCTCCCTCCTCCTCCTCCTCCTCCTCCTCCTCCTCCTCCTCCTCCTCCTCCTCCTCCTCCTCCTCCTCCTCCTCTCCTCCCTCCTCCTCCTCCTCCCTCCTCCTCGCTCCTCCCCCTCGTCCTCCTCGTCCTCCTCCTCCTTCCTCCTCCTCCTCCTCCTCTCCTCCTCCTCCTCCTCCTCCCCTCCTCCTCCTCCCTCTCCTCCTACTCCTACTCCTTGTCCTCCTTGTCCGCCTCCTCCTCCTCCTCCTCCTCCTCTCCTCCTCCTCCTCCTCCTCCTCCTCCTCCTCATTCATTGTTTCCTCTTCATATTCCTCCTCCTCCTCCTCCTCCTCCTCCTCCTCCTCCTCCTCCTCCTCCTCGTCCTCCTTCTCTTCCCAATCATCACCATCATGGGCATCATCATCATCATCATCATCATCATCATCATCATCCTCATCATCCTCGTCATCATCATCATCATCATCATCATCATCATCATCATCATCATCATCATCATCATCATCATCATCATCGTTATCGTCATCATCATCATCACCATCATCCTCATCATCATGAGCAGCAGCATCATCAGCATGACCATCACCATCATCAGCGTCACCACCACCATCACCAGCTTAATCATAATCAGCAGCATCATCATAAGCATAATCACCAGCAGCAGCACCATCAGCAGCATCAGCATCAGCGCCATCGTTATCTCCATCTTCATCATCAGCACCATCATGATCATCCTCATCGTAATCATCATCATCAGCAGCATCAGCATCAGCAGCAGCATCATCAGCAGCATCATCATCGTCATACATGGGCGTGATTAAAGTTTGGCCCTTTTTTAGCATAGCCGAAGTAATGGCTACAATGCATCCACACGCTGTTGTGGCATGAGGGGGTGCTTCGATCGGTGTCGTTGTGATGTGGAGCTGGTTGCACCGAAATACAATCAGTGCTACTTGGGCGCAGCACCGCCTGAGCACCGCAGTGACAGTGAGCACCCAGATGCCTGCGGGCACAACATCGCCAAGATCCACCCTTATCCTTCCACCACTCCTCCCTCCAACTTGAAGTTGCAGCGGAGACACACTGGTTGAGTTTGTATTTGATTTGCGCTGGGAATCGAGACGGCTGCGACCGCACGCGCATTTCTTCCAAGACAGTTGTTCACCTCTTGGATTCGGCCTGAGCTGGATCATACCGCCTGAGTCCAACAACGCCTCAGCACCAGTGACTCTGAGCTCTTGCTAGTGAACACCAGGAACGCAGAGCGCAGCAACATCGATAAGCCTTGAAAGTTCATCGATGCAAGCTCCACCCTCATCTTTCCACCCGTCCTCCCTCCAACATGTCCTACATGTTGCAGCGAGGACGAACTGGATAATCGTATTGGATTTGCGATAAGAACCGAGACTGTTGCGACCACGCGCGCATTGCTCGATTTGGCCTCGGAGCCGGATCAACACTACCCGAGTCCAGCAACGCCTGAACACCACTGTGAGTGTGAGCACCCGGCCGCCTGTGAGCGCCACATTGCCAGTGAACACAACTGCTGACAAACAGCTCAAGTACGCAGAGCACAACAAGATCAATAAAGCCTGAAAGTTGATCGATGCAAGCTCCTCCCTCATCCCCCCACCCCTCCTCCCCCCAACTTGCCCCAAAAGTTGCAGCGAGGACGACCTGGAAGAATTTGCATTGGACTTACGATAGCAATCCAGACTGTTGCGATCACGCTCGCATTTACTGCTAGAAGGTCATGTTTTGACTGCTGGATTGGGCCTTGGGAGCTGGGGTCAAACCCCCAAAAAAAACGACTTGGCCCAGACAATATCTTATTTCGAACGATCCCCACCGAAACCTTCGGCGCCTGTCCTACTCTTCCTCTTCCTCGTCCTCATCATTTCCCTCCTCTTCCTCCTCCTCCCACTCCCTTCCCCTCATCCCTCCTTCCTCCTCCTGTCCTCCCTGTTCCTCGTCCTCCCTCTTCCTAACATATTGGTCTTCCAAAGGAAATGGGGTACATCAGGCAGCCCAAGCAGAAGCAGCCCAAACGGGCGGATGAGTCGTGCTTTCCCCGTTGGATTCGGCCTCCGACTGGAAATCCACCAGGGGCCCGCCAGGCAAGAACACCGCCCCAATCAGCACCAGCGCGAGGGTGGCAGTGGGTGGGAAACGCGCTTCCCCAGGCTGCCCTGCGCAGAAGCTTCGCAGAAGCCTCGCAGGCGCCTCGGAGACGCCTCGCAGACGCCTCGCAAAAACCTCGCAGACGTCTCGCAGACGCCAGGCAACAACCAACCAACCAGCCAAGCGAAGCAACCACGGCACGCCCGCCGAGCGGCCGAGCAGGCTGAGCGCCATCCGGCGCTACGCCAAGCCCCAGGAGCATGGCCGAGAGGCTGCAACCAACCCCCCAGCCAACTGAGCAGCGAGAACGAGGAGGAGAGGACCACCTGCCGCCCAGCAGCACCCAGGCCGTGAGAATGCCCCAGCCAAGGACGAGGAGAGGAGAACCGCCTGCCGTCCAGCAGCGCCCGAGCCGTGAGAATTCCCCTGCGGTGCCAGGAAGCGGAGAAGCCAAGAGGCCCCAAGAAGGCCTGCCCCGCGATTTTCCTGCCCCGCAAACCGCTACGCGGTTTGCGGGCTATGAAAAACTCGTTGGCCCGGCCGTGTGCCGGTTGTGTGGGCGGCGTTCCCGCGCCGTCTATGGGCGAGTGGAACCATTTGGCGCCGCAAGGCTGGCCCAGGGGCCCAATGCATCCAGGGTGGGCCAACTGGCCTCGCCAAACTCGTGCAGCCAGGACGGCCGCGAGGCACAACCAATGCGCACAATCGGACCCATTTTTTGGCACGCCCACTGCATCCGAGTGTGCCTAACCTTCCTCGTCGCAGCTCGAATCGGAGAAATCCGCG